ACCTTGGGAAGTGTGGTGTCATGAGATAGCAAGGTAAAAGGAAATCCTATTCTCAACACTCCAGACAATCACAGTTGCCAGCTTCTTACAACTAAATTATATGTAAATGTGACTTTAAAAAAAAAATCTATTCCCACGCCCATTTGTGAAATGTAGTGTGTCTTTTAAAGTGACTTTGTGATAAGAAAAAGGCTGGACAGGCTAAACCTGTTGGTTGCTGAATAAAATATCCATGATAGTAGCAATCCTATGCAAGTAGACCATGGATACGTGAGCTATGTTTCTCAACCTTGGCAACTTATATGGAGTTCAAACTCCAGAATTTCAAGCCAACATGAAAAAAAGTCCCAGAATGAGTCCTTGGCATTCCCAGTCTGAAAACTTGGACAACTAAAGCTGTCAACTACTCAAATCGTGACAACAATGTTGGACCAGATGGAGTAATCAGTATGGCTATGTTCCCATGATACTCTTAATCAGGGCTGTCAGATCTAAGTTGCAAAAGTCCAAACCGCCCTCAATGGCATCAAAGGAATACAAAAACACCTTGCTGCCATCCAGTGGTTTCTGGAGTTTTTAAACCTAAATCTGATGAACATGCCCTTTACTGAATTAGAGTGGGTGAGGTGTGGTTAGTGTATTGTAGAAACACACACACACACACACACACACACACACACACACACACACAAAATCAACTAACCCAGGTCAACCCTTTGGGGTTACAGTATATACAAAATAAATGAGTCTTCATCCAGCCATTAATAAAATCAATCAATGATCCATTTTGTCTACTTAATCATGCAGGAAAAAATGAATAGAAAAAGTGATTTTGAAAAAGTTCCTTTACAGGATAATAGAAGTCACTGCTGACCTTTAGAAGCCTAGAATGCATTTCCAAAACATGGGGAAAGTGGCTAATAATAACATGAATATTATTTTTTTGATCTACAATATATACATCAGTCTGATATAAGATTGATGGCCTTGGACTATGTCTGACCTGAATTTGTGCTGGGAAAAAACAAACATATAATGAGATCATGTAGTTGCTTTAAGCAGCACGCTAGAAATTAGGAGACCAGAATTCTAGGCCCACCGTAATTACAAAGCCAGATGGGTGACTTTGGATCAGTCACTCTTTCTCAGCTTTCCTTTCTCAGGAGGACAGCTGTGACAAACCACTTCTGAAATCTTGTCAAGAAAACTGTAAAAGCTAGTTCAGGCAGGTTTCCAGGAGTCAACATTGACTCAAAGGCATGCATGTATGTGCATGTGCACATATACACTCACAGAAAACAACTCCCTCTCAAACAGAAATTATTTATAGATGAAGACACTTTTCTCCCATGACAAATATGATATGCAATACTAGCAACACAAATGATATACAGGTACACTAATCTACATAATCATAATTCATAAATTGTGTAGACTAGAGATGGAATGTCTCATCATTATATAGTCTTTGAAAGGTTCTGGACATTGGCACCTGGATCATACAACTGGATAGACAGTAATCTTCACCAATTGTTATCATATTTGATCCATCTAGATCAGGGCTGTCAAACTGGATTTCTCTGAGGGTCAGATCAGTACTGTAGTTTTCCTTCGCAGGCCGGCTGGAGGTGTGGGGTGAGGAAATGGGACAGACGCCTCCTGAAGCACCCTGCCAGCCAAAACGGGGCGTGGGGTTTTTGGTTGCCAGAGGCACTGTGGGCCTGTCCTTTGCTATTTCCAGGCTAGCCCCATGGGCCAGATTTAAGCACCCTGCAGGCCAAATCCAGCCTGTAGGCCTTGAGTTTGACACCCCTGAACTAGATCCATCTGATCGATCAAGATTTGTTGCATGTTTTGGAGATGTATGTCAGGCTTCCTTTGTATGGTTTCCAATCATTAGCTTGCATCTGAGAAATGCCACCAAGTCTTTTGAAATGATAAATGTTCCAAATCTTTTTCTGATGTTCCTATTAAATTGTTGTGACCATAGTATTTTTAATATGGATGGCACAGTATGGTAGAGCCCATAGATTAGAGATGTTCTGTTCCATGGTTAGACATCACGATAAAATAATTGTAAGAGAGTGTGTTCAACAAGTTTGTGCTGTTTGCATCCTCATGTGCTACTTTGTGCTGGTTCCTTGTTCCTATAGTTGGCAACTAACAAATGTGGCAATTTAGTGTGCAGGAGACGCGCAACAAGAACAGCTGCAGGGAATACACCCACAGTAGTACATAGTGCAATTGCCTCTTGTAAACATTTTTGTTGTTGGCATTTTGGTTGGCATTTTGTCGTCAACCTCCACAATCTGTAGAACTTTCTGGGTGGTGTGTATCAGTTCTGAGTTATGCTATAAGTTGAAAAGATGAACTCAAGATGAGGCATTTACAGCATTTACAGTGTTGGAAGCATCCAGCTGAATATATCTGAGTATCATTGATGAGGGGCAGTGCAGAAATTGATTCCTTAAATGGGGAAGGAGGCAAAACAGGCATTTAAACAAGCGGCACTATGTAATCCAACAGCACTGATCAACAAAGGAAACAAGACCCAATATACATGCCTACTTCCACATCCCTAATTGGGAACCAGAATGCTCCACAGGAAGTAGTTTGATTTTACAATGCCTCAATTTCCCTTTCTGTGTTAAAAAAAAACCACATGTGCCCAAGTAATATAAGGCATAATAGGTCCAATTATTATGAATGACAACATCTTCCTTTCTTATTAATTTGCAAGCTGAGACTAGAGAGCTAGAGATGTTAGTTTTCCTGGATCTCATACAAGAAGTCTCATGATCTCCCTCTTAAAGTGCATGTATATAGCTTTGTATTATAATGGTTGTATTCATGTAATTTTAAATTGTTTTCATATTTGATTTTTATTATATTGTAAGCCACCCAGAATTGCTTTGGATATACATTTAATAATTAAATAAATTCATCATAGACCATTCAGAGGCTAGTTCCAACAAGAACCAAATTAGTGTCATGTAGTGACTTCTACTGGTCAGTATTGAATATAACCGCTATAAATAATTTTCTAATTGCCCAAAGACTTCATCCATTCCATCTATTAAGATATTTTCTGATATAATACTGCATTAAAACTTGTAGAAAGGGGGCTGGCTGAGGAATTTTGGGAGTTGACGTCCACTAGTCTTAAACTTTGCCAAGGTTGGACATCTCTGGCTGCATTTTCACAATATAATAACTTTCTTATTTCTAATTTGGGTTTCAACTGACCATAAATATCCACAGGAGAATTGGGGGGCAGCAGAGAAACAGCAGATGGCAAATGACATTTTGTGTTTGAGTGATGAATGCATAAATGATTCATTTATGTACTTACGTTAGTTATCATGAGGTGATTGAGCCAAATTACACAAGTACCTCACACTTTTGGTTTAATGTAATTATGGATGGTAGTCAACAGCTATTGGAACATGATCAAATGTCTGAATTTACTGGTAAACCCCAAACATTCCATTGATAGGCAAGGCAGTTGTTAAGTGAGCTTTGCCCTGGTTTACAACCTTTCTTGGAACAGTTGTTAAGTGAGTCGCTGCAATTGTTAAGTTAGTAACACAGTGGTTAAGTGAATCCGACTTCCCCATTGACTTTGCTTGTCAGAGGGTCAGAAAAGGTGATCACTGAAACTGTCATAAATACCTGCCAGTTGTCAAGCGTCCTAATTATGATTGTGTGACTATAGGATGCTGCAATGATTGTAGGTATGAATAAGTTGCTTCAGTGCCATTGTAGCTTTGAATGGTCATTAAACAAATGGTTGTACATATTGAACAATAAACTAACTGGATTTTTAGAACATTCACCTTCTGTTTACAATAACAGGTTAAAAAAGTGAAGGGGTCCCTATGGATATTATTCCACTAATAATTGTTGCCAACTATAGCGACTGGTGCTCATCTCCGATTCAAGGTCATTGAGCCAGCCCTGTTGGAAGACATTTCCACCATCATTTAGCCAGAATGAGGTCATGGAGTACTGTTATTTTCCTACTAAAGTGTACCTACTATATTTATCTATTCACATTTGCATGCTTTCGAACTGCTAGGTTGGCAGGAGCTGGGGCAAGGTCGGAAGCTCACCCCTTTGAGTGGCTCTTGGGTCTTGAACCTTTCAAGCTGACAACCCCAGCATCTTAACTAATGAGCCACCATAACACCCAGGATAATAACAGGAGTAAAGTAATAGTCACAACAACAGCGATAAAACTAAAAAGTAAAAGGCTTGCTTCCTCTATGAGCCCCCACTCCAAAATAATATCATTGGAGCCAGTTGTTCCATAATTACTTCACAAGGGAGGCATGATAGGGATCTCCAGTGGGGCAGCCATCTTCATGCCACAAGAGTTTTCTGTTCCTAAAGGATGGTATTGTAATCCAATTGGAGGGACAGGCATACAGGTATTTTCCCCTTGTGGATTGTACATGGAGATGTTGGGAATAAAATTGGAGCTTTGGACCCCCGCACAAAAAAAGATAAGCTCCGTAATTGAATTGTTATCCTTCAGGCATGCACATACATATGTTTTAGATTAGGAAACCAGAGTTAATGCATAGGCTGGTGTAAACAAGCATGGGCGTTCTATACACAACCCTCCTCCAATTGTGCTATTTAAGTTGACCATGTTTCTCCAATCATTCCAAAAAACCCAGAGAAGCCGATTTCAGTTAATGTGTAACCAGCTTCATTACCTTTCACCCTTTTCACATTCACCTTCCATTTTCTTAGGCACCTGCCACTCCCCTAGTGCACAGTCCCAGGAAGGAAGAGCACTCAGGAGAAAGCAGAGGAACACACCCAGAGAGAGCCTGGCATGAGCTCTGAGGTAAATAGTTTTCTCCCTGCAGGGAGTATTTGGAGAACAGTGAAAAGTATACAAGCAGGATAAATATTTCAGATTGAAACGCCCTGCCTCGTGCCCATGCACAGTTTTTTGCAAAACGGGGCAGGGGTAGGGTGTGTGGGTGTGCATGTAAACATGGGGGATGGGAGAATCCTCTCCAACAGGAAACTACACACTTGCGTCTCCATTAAACTGGAGGCAGAGTGGCTCAGAATCAGGAAACCAGACTCCTTGTTTTAAGCGGAAGGTAAGCAATATGGAACTTAAGTCTGTGTGTCTCGTAACTGAGGAAACCTGGGACCAAGTTCTATAGAGAGAGAAAGGACATCAGCACCAAAAACCTGTCCTTAAAAACCTGGATGACTGATGAAGATCAATGTAATTTTGCAAAGCTAGTAATGCCTCTTCAAAATCTAGTTTATTGTGATGTTTTTAAAAACTTGAGTTAGCCAAATGCTTCTGCTTTTTTCAAAACTCTTTCCCCCCCATTTTTCCTACCCTCCCCTTTTTCTTCTTGCAACTACCTTACACCATTGAGCAGTAGAAAGAATTGTTTCAGTTTGTGGTAAATACAGTAATGATTGATAGGAAAGGCAGATAACCCCAGGAAGAACCCTGTGGTTTGCATCTTAAAGCTCACATTATCAGATTCAGTTAGTAAGAGACAACCTATTGCCCTTCGGGGGTTGTGGATTTCAATTTCCAACAAAGGCAAGGATTTGTAGCATACAAATAACTTGTACTGCCTGTAATAGAGACATCTGTTACAGTGGTGGGAATTCAGTTTTTTTTACTACCGGTTCTGTGGGCATGGCTTGGTGGGCATGGTGGGGAAAGATACTGTAAAATCTCCAGTCAGAGGTGGTATTTGCCGGTTCTCTGATCTATTCAAAATTTCTCCTACCGGTTCTCCAGAACTGGTCAGAACCTGCTGAATACCACCTCTGATCTGTTGTCAAGCTGCCATGGCCAACCTATGACAGCTCAAGACATCAACGTCTTGAATTAGGACTAGATATTCTAGATAGAGTGAGAATGATCTCAGACAACTCAGGTTGCTGGTTTAGAAGAAGCCACAGCAGCAAAGTTCTGCATAACAGCTCTATAGCAGTGTTTCTCAAACTCAGTGACTTTAAGATGTGTGGACTTCAACTCCCAGGATTCCCCTTCCATGTTAGGGAAATCCATACATCTTAAAGTTGCTGACAACGACTTTAAAGTCGTTGTCCAAATTGCTGAGTACCCAGCATCCCCTAAGCAGTTTTTGCCTTATAGCCTCTGTAATAACAGAATTCTCAGGAACTGTTTTTCTTAAATAACTAATTTATAGAATTAATTCTCTGACAGATATATCTTTTTCCCTAAGTGTTTGAAATATTTCATTGTCTGTAAAATTCAGCCAGAGAGTTAAAGTAAGAGTATGTGTTATCTTATTGATCTATTGTCTACCCTATATGCTTTTTTGTTTTATGTTAGTTGGTCAATGATCATAATAAACAATATTTCCATTCCTTGCAATTCTTATGTCATCCCCATAAACCAAGAATCACAATTAGCTGATGAGACAGAAGGGCTTTTGTATATTTTTATCCTTTATTATTTATAAAGCCAAGGCAGCAAACATACCTAATTCTCCTTGCTCCTCCTATTTTGTTCAACAACAACTCTGTAAGGTGAGTTGGGTTGAGAGAGTGTAACTGGCCCAAAGTCACCTAGCTGGCTTTCATGTCTAAGGCATGAACTTACTTGTTCTGAAAGAGCTAAAGAAAACTCATTCTTTTCTTCACCAGGGGAGAAGCTGACATGGAAATTATGAAGCTGTTTGTGTTATTTGCTTTTATAGTTTGTCACTTTTGGGGAGAGCAATGTATTTAAAGCAGAAGTTTCCCACCCGCAAAAGCAATAGAGATATAGCAAAATTTCATGCAGTTGTCCCTCCTGATCGCAATGTGGCTCAATTAGCAGGACATTCATTTTGAACCAAATTGAAACTGACTTTTCTTCTACCGATCCCTCCTGCTTCTTTGAAGTCAGACAATTGGTCCTTTTCCAACTTGATTATTCAGCTTTCTAATGTTATTTTATTTGTTTATTTTTGCTTATCTTCCTTTCTGGCTTGAATTTTCTGTTTTACTTTTCTGATAATGCCTCCTTCAACATCACTCCAGTATGATATCTCAACTTGAATTATAAACAACCAGGATTGGATCATGGTATCAGATTAGCCCTCAAGATATGATATTACAACCACCACCACCACAATCCTGTGGATGGTAGGTGCATGCCCATGTATGCTATTTATATTATAAATATAAATTGTACTCATGGTTTTTAACTGGATTTACATATAGTACTGTCTCAGGCTTGTATGAATACATTTTATGAAATCTGATACTGTAGTTTCTAAATAATTTAAATAATCTAAATAATGGCAACAATAGCACTTAAGAGTTATATACTGCTCCACAGTGCCTTACAGCCCTTGCTAAGTGGTTTACAGAGTCAACATATTGCCCCCAACAATGTGGGCCCTCATTTTCCTGACTTTGGAAGGATGGAAGGTTGAGTCAACCTTGAGTCTTGTGAGATTCGAACTGCCAAATTGCAGTCAGCAGCAGTAGCCTGCAGTACTGCATTCTAACCACTGCACCACCAGGGCTCACTTAATACAGTTATGAATTTGCAGAATTTATGAATTAGGTAATCTGAGAGGTGTACAAGTTTTTTAGGAGGCTGAAAATAATCATGCTTTACTTTTCATATATATTCACCTTTGTTACAATTCTGTTAAGTTGAGGTCAGGCCCATAGGATTGTTGTTTTGTCATCAAATGTGCATTGCATTCTTTTTCTCTCCTGCAGTTTTTTTTTTTAAAAGCAAAATGGAAAATATTTGGTATCTCTGGATCTCCAGCATCCTCCTGCCTTGGTCTGCAGTATCTGGACATCCTTGTAACATTGATAAAATGGTAAGCAAGGAGTGATTTCTATAAATTGTAGACCAAGTTAAATGTTTCTCCATGGGAGGATCTTAGACCGTGAGAAAACCTGATGCCTGTATTTGGTTAAATACTGGTTTTGTAGATAAACTTCAAATTTGCATAATTACCATAATAAAAATGGTAATTGAGATGATATGAACAAATATTTCAAATCTCGGCTATTTAGATTTCTTTAAATCTAGCCATCAGATGTAGTGCCCTGAAGCATTCAAGACTGCATAAGCGGGCCATGGTTAATAGCTAATATCTTCTTTCAAAAAGACTGCATCTTATACAAGCACTGGCATCCTTGAAATAGCTTATTGCTCCAACCTGGGATGAACATGTGTAACAAGGAATGGTGAAAGCGAGGAGATCGAAAGGGTGGTGTGTCATTAACACATATTTTTCCCACATGTAAGTTCAGTGTAAAAGGTACAAGTAGTTCAAGATATCATCTTTGACAAACACCATTAAAAAGACAGATTTGCATTCTATTTTTCTTTGGGAGGGGAGGAATAGAAGGGCTGGGTATTTTTTGCAGGGTAGCCTTTTCATGGATACAGTGACTGCTTGCAGTTATTTCCAAATGTTGCACAATTCAAAGGGAATGACAAGTTTGGTTATATTGTATATATATTTCCAATATGGAATTTTACATTATTAACATCTGTGCAAGAAATGTCTTCAGATCACAACTATAATTCTGGTTTTGGTTTGCTTGCTGTCCAAGTTTTGCTATTATCCAAACATTGATATTTATTTGGGATGAATTGGTCAAATTTGGACTTGGCCACTATATTGTGGGATTTTTGAACAGCTTCAGTGTCTTTCAGTTTTCAAAGGATTTTTCATAGAGCTGTGTTAAAGTGCTACTTACTCATCCTTGAATTAGTAGAATGGATGGTGAAATTGGTCTGATTGTGCTCTCTTGAAAACTAATGAGGGCACTATTTACTTAAGGTAGGAAAACACACTATGTACACAGAAGGGATATAGCACAGAGACTGTGTCAGGTATAGATTGGAAGTGAGAGGAAGGCAATATCACAGGGACATGGTAGAAAAAGGAAGTGAAGGATGGGGAAAGTGTTACAAAATAAGTGCTGCCGCCTCAGTTATACTGAGTAAATAATCCAAATTTTATTTTGAGCTCTGTTTTTAGTTTTACATAAAAGGAAGGAACAAAATCTACCTTTCTATGTGATGTCACTCAATGATTCTTGAGGGAAGAAGAATCTTTCCTTAAGAATCATTGAGTGAGATGATTTCTTCGTGGGAAGAAAACTTCCCAAGTTAGTTTGCAACATTAATTCTGTTGAATTTCTTAATATTTCACACGTGGTTATATTTTTGTAGGGACAGGCTGCCTGCAGTGGAAAGAGCCTTCTCCATCCTCCCAAATTTCTTCCCATGCACATTACCATTCTAGATCTATCTTTCAATTCTCTGACAATGCCCAGGCATGGACCTTTTCTGAGAAGCTTTCCTTCCTTACATTCCCTAAATCTTTCCAGCAACAGCATTCCTACTCTTTCCTCCTCTCTGTTCTGCAACCTTGGTGCTCTTCGCCTTTTGGACCTAAGCAGCTGTGGCATTTCATATGTGCATCGAAGGAGCTTCCGAGGTTTGAAAAGCCTTCACTCTCTACATCTGAACAACAACAAACTTCAATCTCTGGACCTCTCCATTTTTCCTGCCTCTGGAATCCTTGTCCATCTGGATCTGCAAAACAATGAACTGCCCTGTGGACATGAACTTGTGCAATTAAATGTGCAAAGAATCCATCATATCAAACTTCAGGGGAACATTTCAGTGTGCAGTGATTCCCTAACACCTTTCCAACAAGCAGTGCCAGAAAAAGGTGAGGCTAAGATTATCCAAGAGAAGCGATTCAGCAATATGTTGTTCTATCAGGGTAAAAAAAAGCTATGTTGAATCAACTTTTGTGTTAGTACGCAAATAATATTATTGCATGGCTTGTTTTCCTGGCTGTGCACAGGACTCATTTTTGAGTTGTGAAAAAACAATGATTGTGCGAATACGTGCACTGTAACATCTTAAAAAGAGCACAAGACCAAACTAATAAATGTTTGGATCTTTCCAATTTCAAGGGGCGGGGGGAACCAGGTAAACAACTCTCACTTTGCTTAAATGTGAGTGACCCAAGACCAAGCAAAATTTTCACTGATGGTTTATTGAATAATCAACAGTTGTAGAGTTTACATATCACTGTGATTTAAGAATTACTGCAGTTTAGGTTGTACTTCATCTTAAAGCAAAAATAAATTATAGTTTAATGCAATACGTGAACTCAGTCAACACGTTCGTGTATTATATCCTAACAGTTAAATAGTGGACTGAAATGCAAAAATATCTGGTAGGCAATTAAAAATGAAAACAAGGATATTTGAGCAGCCTAAGATTATAAATGAAAAAGTTTTTCTTACCTTTTAAAGTTTTGTAAAAGAACATTTGCATGTTTTATCAATGAAATGTAAGAACCAACATAAATCAAGATGTAGTGTGCTGTCCCAGCCAGTCTATGGGAATTGGATAGTTACTTAGGAATTATGAGCTGTCCCCTTAAGGGAATGCATCATGGTAAATGTAGTTAAAGGTATCCTGGGAAATGTAGTTCATGTCACGTGACCACATCTGTAATCCTTATTGGTCACTAGTTTGACCCTCGAGGGGTTGGGGGAAGTTTTCCTCATTCTTTGTCTGAATTCTCTTACTCATGGCACCTTCTTTCTATCGCTACGAGATGGGTTAGGAGATAACCATCCTTTACTACAAGGCAGATATACAAAGGATTGGTCATAAAAAAAGAACTTCATCACAAACGTGTGTTATGAGGATACCCGATGAACCAATAAATGTTCTTTGTTATGGACGTTGAGTTATTTCTCTGCATCTGTACAGTTTATGAATCTACCTCTGTACAAGATACAGAAAATGTAGAGCAACAGAAACAAACAGTGAAGCTATTTCTTAAACAGATTGTCTATCATTTAAATATAGAACTCCAGATTCAAGAAATCAGACCTTCAGATTATGAGACTGTGAGCCACAGAAGAAAACTTCAGTTCCTTCATATTGTGTCTACGAAGAACCCATCATCACTAGAAAATGCTAGTAAGTGAAGCAAAATATATGATTCCAACTGTGTAGATTCAGAGTAATAACACAATTGTATGTTTTTTATTCCACATCAGAGGTACTATTCAGTAGGTTCTGGAGAACCGGTAGTGGAAATTCGGAGAACCGGCAAATACCACCTCTGACTGGAGATTTTACAGTATCCTTCCCCTGCCACGCTCACCAAGCCGCACCCATAGAACTGGTAGTAAAAAAAATAAAATCCCACCACTGTTCCACATGGTCTTTGCGCACGCATGCGCACCAGAAACCAGAAGACTAGGTGACCACACATACCGGGGAGCTGCTCTTCCAGTTTCTGGCACTCTCCTGTGCGTGTGGCACGGCTGTTTTGGCACTTGGTGCCAAAAAGGTTTGTCAACACCGCACTTGGGAATATGAAAAGCAGATATGGTTGGGATCACATAACACACCAAAACACATTTTTGCCCAACATTATGTAGAAGCCCAGCCTATGTTTTTAGTTAATAGTTCAGCGCGATGTCAAAAAAACCCATGCTTTGGAGCAAGGGTTGTACCACATCCAAATAGGCCAATGCCAACTCAAAATACAGCCACTTCATGTATAGAGTTGTGGCCTTTAGTAAAAATTACACTAAAGCTCAGAAGTGTAACTAAAAGATAGTGTTGCTCAGATCACCCACAGGGACATATGGCGGCAAGTGGGGGCTAGTACCATGATACAAATGCCACATCTCACATACTTGCATCACATATCAGAACACAAGTAATGGTAATGGTAGCATGTACATGATGGCATCACCATGCACACATTATCATTTTGGCATGATTGTAGTTTGCTGCAGCTACCACAGGTCTTCCAGTACATTAATAGTTCTTATATCTTATAACCTTTCTTTGCAGCAGCAGCTATTACCACCCCTTCTACTCAAACAGCTGGGAAAAACTGGATTTACTTTGCTGGTTTTGTGCTTTTGGCTATCACCATCTCTCTCCTGATTGCATTGATTGTCAAATGCAAATTGCTCCACAAAAAGCACGCCAGCTATCATCATCAACGGTTGCCCGATTCTCGCTCCATTGGAAGCAGCCATATTGAGGAAAGAGACATGGACATGACGTATGGGAGGAACCAACCAGCTTCTGAGTGCTATCCAGAGGATGATGATGGTTTTATAGAAGATAACTATATTGTGCCCAATCAAGACTTGAAGGAGGAAGAGGAGGATCTGGAGTTGGAACCTCATTTCAAAATTGGAATACCCTTTTAGGAACAGAGTTCAGTTTGTTATATGCTCCAGTTTGTTCATAGGGCCTATTTCATTTTAGAGGTTCCTGATACTTTCATTATAATAAGCCCAAAGGCAAATTTGACTCTGGGCAAAAAGGTCAGCTGCATGCCTGCAGTGGTTAGAGCTTAGTACGTTTTCCTGAACATTAGTCAAGTGGAAGTCTTGAGTTCTCTCTTACACACTCAACCCTTTCTTTTGCTTGTGCACACACACCCAGAAAGACACTTGGTTCCTTCGTATGTACTTGTTTTTCTTGTATACATACATCAACCACAATTATTTAGAGCTTACATTAGAACTGGTGGAGGTTTCGAAAGAGTCTGTTTGGAGCATAGGAAATAATGTTTCAAATGAACTGCGGCATTTGAGAAGAGCAGTTTTTCCTTCATGACCGTCCCTAAAACCCCACCTGTGCCTTAACAGCAACTGATCTTTTTTTTAAAGCTTGATTGCTATGTGGGTTAAGGAAAAACTATTTCCAAGCAGCTGATGGGAAGGACTTTCCCCCTGGGCTGCATTAACCATCTTCCATAAATGCTATGCATCTCAATGGAGAAGTTTTCCCAACTTATCACAGCTAGTGAGTGCTACCTGTGGGTGTGGGAAGCGTAAATGATTGCCACAAGATGATACCAAAAAACCAGATCTAAACTGATGTTGCAATACTAACAAAAATTTGAGATTCTCAAATTTTTTTTTTCCTGAAAACTCACTGATTTATTAGAAGGAATTTGTAGCAAGTGCCTCATTGCTGTTACTAAGCCTTTTTTATAGTAGTTATTTACAGCATAATTGGGACATTCTAATGACTGCAGTTTTACTTTTGTCCCTATGATGCTGACCATGCTTTCTATTAAGAACAATAATTATACTATCTGTCCTGGTGTTGTCTATATAGGTAGTCCGCAACTTACAACCATTCATTTAGTGAGCATTCAAAATTACAATGGCACTGAACAAAAATGATTTATGTTCCTCATGTTTATGATTGTCACAGCATCCCCACAATCATACAATCAAAATTCAGGTGCTTGGCAATCAACATATATATCTATAATGGTTGCAATCTCTCAGGGTCATGTGATCTCCATCAGCAACCTTTCTCAGCCAGCTTTCGCCAAGTAAAGTCAGCTATGCTAACAATTACTACTACAATAACCACAGTGTTATTGCTTGTCAATATACAGAAACAAGCAAAATTCCCCTGGATGCCACTGTTGGTCACATGTTAGAATACTGTAGTAGACATTAAACAACAAAGAGAATGATGCAACTACAACAAAACCAAGTATCTAATACCCTAAAATCCACCAGGTTTGTCTCCTGAAAGCCATAGTCTGTGGATTGAGAGGTTTCATTGTCTTATTATCTAATCATAGTGCAAATGATAATAACTGATAGTAGATTTGCTTGGTGCGTAAAGAGCGTGGGAATTTCAAAACATACACTGTACAATCTCTTCTCATTGTGAATGCAGTATTTATGTCTGAGTAAATTTTCCCATGCATGGTTGGTAAGGTCTAATAAAGCATCACCAATTTCTTTATGATGGAAAAATCTGATATAATGGATTTGTACAAAAAAACTGCAACAACTTTCTCGTTAGTATCTCTTTATATTTACCAGAGACTGTGCAATTTTGTTTGACTTCCTTTTATTTCAAACAACCTTAATCTTTAATTTGTTAAAATGTTATCATAATTTCTCATGATTTCTTACTTGCCCCATTCCAGAGTTCTTCAAAGCTCTAGCAACTCCCTTTTGTAAATCAATAAGAAAAAATTATCCGAGCCAAACCTTTGGTTTGTCATTTGTACTTCCTTTTTAAATTTGAAAACCTCAGCTAGTTTCTTTGTAGATCCAATGAAAGATCCTTTTATAAGCCATTCTCTTGTCCTGTCAATTGTAAATCCACTTTCAATACCATTTCTATCTTGTCAGATAAAATTTATTCTACATCTTTCATTTTTTCAATAACATCCTTTGAACAGTCTATCCGTAGAAATAGCTATCATACTGACACTATTGATATTGTTGCTATTATTTTCTAATTCCATTCTTCAAAAGTTTCATTCAGTATTGTTGTTTTGCAAAATTTTATAGGCTTGTTAATCTTTCCTCTTTAGTTCCCTCTAGTGTCCAGTTTTTGAACTAATGAAATTGCTTATCTGTTTGCTGTTTATTTCAGATACTGGCTGAGGAATTCTGGGAATTGAAATCCACAAGTCTTAAAGTTGCCAAGTTTTGAGACCTCTGCTTTAAATGGTTATTTTTTTTTATTGTTTGTGGTGGCCTAGTTATGAAGACACTCACTTCCCATTTGGAAAGTTGAAAGTCCAATCCTACTGAGCGGCAGATGTTTTTCTTCTAGAGTGCAAAGAAAAAATATCTGATATGGCATCAGGAAGGACATTCGGTCAGTAATGTTCAGCTCCGGCCAGTTACCCTGAATCTACCTGAATTAAGGGATTATAGGGTCGTAAAAAGGAAGTTTATTTATTATTTACTAAATTTGTTTGTCACCCGTCTCGCCACAAGGAGACTATGGGTGGCTTACAACATTAAATTCTTAAGGTTATGATTATAAATGTTTTTGTTTGGGTCTGAAGGGAGGCTCAACAGCATTTTCCCACTTGACATTTTGAACGTCTCTAATAGCTTTAAAATAGTTAATGACCAATTCCTGAAAGTGAGAAAGTGAGGTTTGAGAATTTAGTATCCTTTAACAGTATCTGTTGTGGTTATGGGAAATAACCCCATTATCTAATCCCATTATCTCCTGGCCCTCGTCCCAAAGGAAAACCACTGTCCTCCTTGCAAGAACTAGTTCCTCTCCTTATTTGAGAGGTTCCAAGAAATTGATCTATTCACCCATTCCTTGGTCTTTGCTGCAATTGTCAGCAACATTTCTGCAGAGCCACCTTCAGTTTGCCATCTAATTTGGAAATCTAAATTACACATAGTAGTTCTGTCTTCTGTCTCCTTTGAAAGTAGTTCCCCTGCATACCATGAAACAGAAGAAAGCAACGATTCATAAGCCCCCAAACCCATACACTCTAAATCTTGCTTAAGAGCAGATTAAACATAGTTATCTTATTTGTTATTTGACTTCCCGCTATGGTATGTAAGAAGTTATCACCCACCCCTCTCCTAGAAAAATGAAATATCCTAGGAAATATTAAAAAGGCAGAATATTTCCCCTAAAAAGAGTAGAAACTCAGAAGCAGAAACCTCAGAAGCAGAATGGGCCATTACTCTAGCCCAGGGGTTGCCAACTTTTTGGACCTCAGGGACCACCAAACTCATAATTTTAAATACCGGGAACCACTAATGTGAATTTGACTGATGGTGGCTTGCTGACATTGGTGGGACAGAGAAAGAGAGATCTGATCTAACCTCTCTCCCTCTCTTTTTTTTTCTCTCTCTCTCTCACACACACACAGACAGAGGCCGGGGTGGGATTCAAATTTCTTAACAACTGATTCTGTGGGCATGGCCTAATTTGTGGGTATGGTTTCATGGTCATGTGACTGGCTGGGCATGGCTTGTATGTAAATATTATAAATATTTATGTAAATATTGAATTTTTTATAATAAAAAAGAGCAACTTTTACCCAAAATCAGGCAAAGCAAGCAGGCAGATTGAGTTGCTCACAGAATCACAGATTCACTTAGAGAGATCTGTGTTTCTGCCATCGGCTATCTGAGTCTGCAACTGAATAATAAAACCTTCAGTCCTAAGGGAGGTTTGGCTCTACTTAAAAGGCTCTTAAAGGCAGAGCCAAAGATCTAAAGATTAGCTAGAAAGCAAGAAATGCAATGATTTCCTGCTTTCTAGCTAATCTAAATCTCCCGGCACAGCAGAACAGCTGATGGTCAGAAAAAGGAAAAATGGCACCTTAGCAGGCAAGTTTGCCAGGTAAGGATTGAGTGGGTAGGGTGGGTTCCCATGGGCCATGTGGGCGGCGCAGTCTTGTGTCCCTGCGCAGCCTGGATTAATTGCTTTGGGGGGGGGGGTCTGGCAGTGACATTTCTCTGTGGACCACCAAAATTTTCTCATGGACCACCATATAGCCCACCAGTTGGCAACCGCTGCTCTAGCCTAGGCCAGCCTATTTTATATAACAAAGATCTCCAGGTAGAGCTATTAATAGGAATTGCCCAAAGCCCTTTCATTACATCATCATCAAGGCTCATGCATCATCAAGCAAGGCTCAACTAAGCTTGGGACTCAGCACAGCCTACAGAGTTGCCCCTGTATGGCCCCATGGGAGTCTGACAACCAATCAGAATACAAGCTCAAATTCAAATCCCAACAGAGGGTATAAAAAACAGGCACTTTCAGCATCTCAGCCCTCCCTTCCTTCTTTTCCTTCATCTTGAAGCATGTGATCATCCTTCCTTCTTTGGAGCTCTAAGCCATGTGGTCCTGTCCATCATTAAACCATCTTTCCAAACAGCCTCCATGTTTCCAGTGTCTTTTTCCCTACTTGGAACTGAACCCAGAAGGATATTTCTTCTAACAGGCCATTGCAATATTTTGTCCATGAAATGTATGAGGTTTTGGATTCCGAGGAGGCAGGAAAGTTGTTCTTGAATATGAAAATTATTAACCACTGGCTGTAGCAAGAGACAATTTCTCATTTAGGAAGTATGAAATATCTTCTATCTATAATACAGCTACTTAGGTACATGAATAGGAATATACAGAAATCTCAGTGAGGCTATTATATAAATAAATATAGACCTATGTAAGCATATGTGAAATTGTGATTTAAGACTTTGAGGTAATTCCATATGGTTAGTGTTATGTCCTGAGAACTCTAGGAGTTCTCACTCAGGTCCACTCACTTTGTGTGGGCGTTCTTTCCCCTTTCCTCATTGGTTGGTTCTCCCCAGCAGCCAGCTATAAAAGCAGGCTGCGGGGTCCAACCAGTTGCTGATTGCTGCGAGCCAGTTCCAGGCGTGGCAAGCACGGTCAGCCCTTTATTGTTATAATAAAGTATTGTTGCACTCATGCTCTGGTTCAGCCTCTCATTGCTCAAACCTAACACTGGCGACGAAGGTGGGATGGCTACCAGAAGCACCATGCAACCGCTGAGTCACTAGCCGCCGATCCGCAACCCAGAGAGAGCGATCGGCCGGCGATAAGAGAAACGCTGATCCGCAGCCAGAGAGAGCGGTCAGCAAACAAAAAGAGCAAACAAAAAGAGCAAACGCTGATCCGCTGACAGAGAAAGCGGCCAGCAAGCGATAAGAAGCAAACGCTGATCCGCAGCCAGAGAGAGCGGTCAGAATCGAAAGTTAGAAGCGTCTGTAGCCGCTTGTTAGCCCAGCTACAGGGAAAGTGAAGCGCTGCGAGCCGCAGCCGCTCAGTATCAGGCGCGAAATTCAAACGGTTGTCATTTGAATTTCAAACCTAAAAGGTACAGCACAGCGCTGTAGCCAGTCACTGACACCCGCACAGGCGCGAATCCAAACGCCATCAACGGCTAACAGCCAAACGTGGATAACCCAGAGAGAAAGAGAGGATTGCAAACAGCCTCTCCTGAGCTGAAATCACTTGCCCACCACGGGCACTAAAACATTGTCTGCTGCCCCAGAGAGATTTTTTCCACAGGTTGT